CGTCCCTCCCTCCCCGGAGCCCGGGGGGAGCAGGCACGGCGGGGCGCGGGGGAGGCCTTCCCGCGGGTCCTTCCCGGAGCGGCAGCGGGGATGGCGCTTTATCCCCTTAGCGCCCCGCAGCGGGTTCTGGCACCGAGCTGCCCTGAAGGGGGGATTGCGCTTCCAGGTTTCGGCAGCGCTGAAGGAAGGACGTGTCGCGCCGACGGAGCTCTGCCAGAGGTGCCTTTCCCTCATCAAAAGCACCAAGTTTCTTAATGCTTACATTACTGTAGCGGAAGAAACCGCTTTGAAGCAAGCTGAAGAATCAGAGAAAAGATACAAAAGAGGTATGTTTGCTCCCACTTGATACTAGTCTTTAAAAAGCTGTTGTGGAGGAGCTTTTTGCGGTAGACGAAGCATTATTATTATTTTTTTTTAAAGCAGCTTTACGCGTTTGACTATTAGGGGATGAAAACTGTTTGAGGCTTCAGTGGGTATGTGCCTGGCACTCGGTAGCGTATTCAATTAAAAAGTCACAAGCAAAACCTGGACCAAACCAGGCAGTCGCTGCAGATTGAATAGGCGCTGTGCATCTTGAACAGTACTGCTGCTGGTTGCTCCTTCCTTCCCTCAGCGGTTGATTTTAAATTGGTAGCCAACAGTTACCGAGATCAGGAAGATGCAGTGGTCTTCTGCAGGCCTGTTGACTGAGGCAGACGAACATCCACCTCAGCCTTATCGGGTGTTAAATTAAGAAAGCAAGTGAAAAATAAAACAACTTTGTTAATTGGAGTTATGACTTGTGGAACAGAACAGCATTAAATCCTGCCAACTGCAGCATTTAGAGGATGACCCATCCTCACTTTCCTCCGCATTTCCTGGAAGACAGAAAAGGGAAATTTTCACCTACTAGGGTACTTTTTTTTTTTTTTTTTCCTTCCTAGGTGACACTTGCTGTCCTCTGACACCTCAAGAAAATTGCCAGGCGGAGTGTTTTGCTTCTTGACATAGGCATTTTAAATTACTTTTTTGCTGGATGGTGGATAATCAATCACATAGGGAAGACTTTCTCTGTTCTCATATCTACTGTGTATATTAGGTAGGCAGAATTTATGGCTCCTAGCCTAGGGATGGAGTAAATTTAGGCAGCACCCGTGCCTGAAATAAGCATTACATGGTTACATTTGAAGAGGTAAGCGCTCCTTTGGGATGGCTAACCTCTATGAAAGCCACTGCCTGTCTTGGGAGCTTAGACA